TGGTTGGATGACTCTAGGAATAAGTCCTTAGCTTGGGCAATCCCAAGCAGCCATGGTGAGCATAGCTGTCACATAGGGAACATTTGGAGTGTCAGATGGTGCTCCATTCAAAATCCAAGAAAGAAATACTTAGACTCTATTAATTAGAGAAAAGATATCTTTTACTGGAAGTCAAGTGGTAGCAACAAAAGAATTCTGAATCTGAGAAAATGAGCGTGTAAATCACATATACAAAGTGATGGCAACGTTCCCACCCCCAATAGTTCAATTGGCTCATCCAATTAAAAGTTGTGTATAGCATCATGTGGGCATCTCCAGGTGGTGATGAGGCCTCTGTCCGTTGACCTTGACATATTTTGATAAAGAGTTGCGGCTGCTCATAGCATAGGATAGAAGCCTAAGCAAGAACCTCGCCCCCCACCTTATACAGTTCTGTTTTGTAACACCTCCAGCTCGCTTCCCATAACCATGTCCCCACTCCTCCCCCTGTTACTTATGACAGCCGAAAGAAGCAAAGCAAAGGAAGAAAATCTTGAAGGCTGACATTCGGCCCTCCTGCAAAAGAGATGTTAGTCCTATAAAAGATAAAAATAGAAGATAACAGAAAATATACATGTAACAGCATAATACTATATTTTAGGGTTTATCAGGATATTTAGTACGAAATGTCTTGATAAACTTAGGAGCTCTAACATCCTTCTCATTCACCCATTCAGACTGGGAAGGAGGAAAATGTTTCCAAACAGCCAAATATTGGAGTCGACTCCTTTGTTTTCAAGAATCCAAAATTTCTTTAACTTCAAAATGTTGTTCACCTTAAATTAGCAATGGCATGGGGGGATCGACCTGGGTCGGTCTCAAGTCAGAGGTATGTTCAGATTTTAATAAACTAACATGGAAGACAGAGTGGATCCGTTGGAAGGTTTTAGGTAATTTCAGTTGGTCTGCCATAGGGTTCACAATTTGTTCAATTGGGAAAGGTCCAACATACTTAGGTCCAAGCTTTTTTGACTTTTGTGTGGTCTGCAAATATCTGGTGAATAAAAAGACCTTGTCACCAACTTGATATGGTTTTTGTGGAGTTCTCTTTTTATCTGCAAATTTTTTATGGGCTTGATGAGCATCATCTAATACTTTACAGGTAACGAGCCAGGTAAGCTGGAGCTGTGTTATCCATTCATCTAATGACTGAATGTTTGGTTTCTCCTGTGGAAACTCGGGTATGGGTACAAAGTCTTGTCCCGAAGCCACTTTAAATGGAGTAAACCCAGTACTACTACGTACCGAATTGTTATATGCCACCTCAGCGGATGGCAGTAGGTCAGCCCAATCATCTTGCTGATAATTTATATAACATCTAAGATACTGTTCCAATACCAAATTAGTTCTCTCACAAGCCCCATTGGTTTGTGGGTGGTGGGCGGAGCTTAAGCCAGGGTGGAGTCCGATAACTTCAGGAACTCCTTCCAAAAGTTTGAGGTAAACTGGACATCCCTGTCTGACATTATGCGTTCAGGAACCCCATGTAACCTGTAGATATGTAAAATAAACAGTTTAGCCAACGTTTTCACAGATGGGATTTTTGCACAAGGTATGAAATGTACCTGTTTGGAAAACAAATCTGTTACTACCCAAATAACTGTATTTCCCCCACTTTCAGGTAGTTCCACTATAAAATCCATAGAGATTTCCTTCCATGGAGCAGTTGGTCTAGCTACATTTTGTAGTAAGCCTGCTGGTTTATCAGGAGGCCGTTTGGCTGGGGCACAGATAGAACAGCTAGCCACATAAGTCTCAATGTCCTTTTTCAAGGTAGGCCACCAAAATTGCCTTTTAATCAAGTGTAAGGTCTTTATGAATCCAAAATGTCCAGCATAGAGTCATGAGCTTGCTGTAATATTTGGTTTCTCAGCTTTGCTGGCACATATAATTTGGCCTCCACCCATGCCAATCCATCTCTAACCGTACAGTTATTTGAATGAGCAAGGAACCAATCATCAAGCTTTAGAGCCTCTTTTAATTGTGAAGATAAATCATTTGATAAATCAACTTCCTTCTTTTTCTGGGCTCTGGTAACCACTGGAGCCACCAACTGTTTGGTTGGGACAATAGGCTGTACCACTTCTTGGCGAGCACTATTATATTGAGGTAATCTAGATAAAGCATCCGCCATGAAGTTCTTCCCCCCTGGAATGTACTTCAATGAAAAATTAAAGCATTTAAAGTACTGTGCCCAGTGAACTTGCTTGGGAGATAGCTACCAAGGCTTTTTCAAAGCCTCCAAATTTTTATGATCCCTCCACACCTCAAATGGGTGTTTTGCCCCTTCTAGGAAATGCCTCCAGGTTAACAGAGCTCAGCGAACTGCAAAAGCTTCTTTTTCCCAGATGGCCCATCTTCTTTCAGTTTCAGTTAGTTTATGGGAAGTATATGCACACGGTTGCAGAGTCCCCGTCTTGTTTACTTGTAGTAACATCACCCCAACTGCTACATCACTCGCATCGGCTTGGATTACAAAAGGAGCGTCCATGTCCGGGTGCTTGAGTACTGGTTCAGCAGCAAACAGTTGTTACAGCTTCTCAAAAGCAGCTTGGCACTTCATGGACCACTCCAGTGGTTTACTAGGCTTTGGTTTCACCTCCCCTTTGGTTTTTAGGAGATTTGTGATAGGCATTGCAATCTTCACAAACGCAGGGATAAATTGATGGTTAAAATTAGCAAATCCCAAGAAACTTTGAAGTTGTTTCCTGGTGTGGGGCGGGGCACATTCCAAAATGGCATGAACTTTCCCCAGATCCATTTCTGTGCCATCATGTGATATGCGATGGCCTAAATAGTCAATTTTTTCCTGGTGGAATTCACATTTGGACAACTTTGCAGCTCGAAGTTTTTCCAGAACTGGCCGCACTAGTTTCACATGTTCATCATGAGTCCCGTGTAGATAAGAATATCATTAAGATAAACCAACACCCCTTTGTATAAATGTTCATGCAACACTTGATTTATCATTTGCATGAATACTGCAGGGGCCCCCTGTAGGCCAAACGGAAGAACGTTGAATTGGAAATAGCCCATTGGGCAGTTAAAAGCAATTTTCCATTCATCCCCTTCCTTAATTTGAACTCGGTAGTATGCTTCTCTCAGGTCGAGTTTCATAAATATTTTCCCTTTGGCCAAGTGGGCCAACATATCCTTCATCAAGGGGAGGGGGTACACATTCTCGACCGAAATGGCGTTGAGGTTCCTATAGTCAACACATAAACGCAGAGAGCCATCTTCTCACAGAACAATACTGGGGCCGCTACTCGGGGCCTAGCAAGTTGGATGAAACCACGTTCCAAATTTTTTATCAATAAATGACCTTGACATATTTTGATAAAGAGTTGTAGCTGTGCACAGCATAGGCTAGAAGCCTAAGCAAGAATTAACTAAATCACTAATTTTACTAATCAATTAAATTTCATGAATAGCTGATCTTTTACACTGATCAGTAATCACACTATTTGCACTAAACACTCTAATCACACTAATCAATCAAAAGAATAAATCCCTTAATCCATTTATTAATTATTTTATAGAAATTGATTTAGAGACATCATTATCTAATCATTGATATAGGTCAGGGGGTAGAAAAGTGGTAAGTTTTGAGGTAATGAAGTAATCAGTGTTTAAGTATTAAAGTAATGAAGTAGTATTGAGAGTCAGCAAGTAAAGACTTATTGCTTTTCTAGCTGCTATCCAATCCACTGGGTGAGAAGGATATATTGCTTTGATGGCTGCTGTTATCTGATCTACTGGGTGAAACACGCTGTAATAGCTGTAGGTCTGGAACATGCAGAAACAGGCTGTAAACAGGATGACTAAAAACATGCTGAATTATTGAAACAGGATAAAACATTTTCTCCGTTCAGGGAATCCTGTTTGGGGAACCACAGTTGACTCCATTCCCAACTGACTCGGTTCAAGACTCCACCCAAGGAATCTTAGAACTGGAAGAATATTTGAAGTCATGTGGTTTATTTGTTTAATGGCTACTAAGGATTTTTTTCCTGATGAGATAGAAGTTGGTGAGAGATTGCTCTGTAAAATAGAAAATTGTGGGATTATTTTTCTAGCAAGATTGTTTCCTGTTAACAGCAACAAAAAACAAGAAGTTTTTCTTGCTGGGATCTAGACTGGCTGATCGTAAGTCCATTCTGGCTTGGCTTTCTGGCTGCCTCCAGGGAATTGTATTTATCCGGGGCTCGGAAAGATGAGTGGGGATGGCTGTGCTCCGGTTTGGCTCTCTAATTGCCTCCTGGTATTTGCGCTCCGATGGAGCTCGGGGCTCAAGCATTACTGCTGCTGAGGAGGTTGCGGGAGATTGTCCAAAGGCCCTGCCTCCGGGAAATTGCCCCGCCCCACCCCTGGGAAATTGCACTTCGCAAGGGCTCAGGGATGGAAGGCTATGGCTGCTGGTGAAAGCTGCAGGAGTTTGCCAGAGGCTGCTTCACTGGGATTGGCTGCGGGGGAATCTCGGGCTCCCAAGGGATCTTGGTTACTCACGGGAGCTTCAGCGCTCAATTTCAGGTGACTTCTGGTGAAGGTGGAGATTTTAAAAGGATCTAAAAGGTGATAAGCTCTCCGGGAGCAAGAACCTCACCATCCTTGTTGAGCACCAGCTTGAAAAAAAAAAAGATTATAATCCTAATCTGCCCTTTGGTGTGTGGGAAGGACTCAGGAGTATTTCCAAAGAGGCTCTTGCACTGATAGTGTGTCCCGATCATCACATGCCCACAGGAAATTTTCCTCTGGCCAAGCTGCAAAACTTTTTGCAACTCTAGAAAGTTTGAAAGTGAACGGTTTCCTCATTCACTGATTCAAGAGTCTCAGCTGCCTCTTACCACTGAAATCTGTTGTTGTTTAAGCAGCCTTTACCCAATCTTAATTCTCCTAAGCCGTTTGACAATACCAGTGGAAAAATAAATAAACAACCTCCAGGAAACCAATACAGATGATTCCTCTGTTTTCTCAGCCAGAGCAACCAGGCTGAAAGACAACGATTTGTTCCCATCACACAGAGAGAACCAAAGGTGAATGGGGGAGAGGAATCCAGATCTCCCCTCATCCCAGCTCAATCCTCCCAGGTCTAGGGTCTTCCAGATCTTGGACTTTGATCCCCAGAATTCCCCAGCTAACCTGGCCTTTGATGAGAATTCGGGGGGTTGAAGTCCACACATCTGGGAGGCATCAAGGCTTGGGAAAAGTGCTACCCTATCGCTGGAAAAAATGAGTGCCGATTGCAGAATGGCTAAATAAGCATTGAGGCTGCAATGGAATATACAAGAGGTGAGCAGATTATTCTGGATGGTTGTATGTATCAGTTATCATTGTAATCAAAATGCTACAGTCAAGATCACAGCCAACAAGGATGAAGCAAATTGCAAGGCAGTTAGATGATTTAACCTTTTTGCCTTATAGATTTCAAAATGCCAAGCCAGGAGTCTCTCGGGACTTACCAGGATGAGACTAAAACGGGACAAGGTAAGTACATGTGGGGATTTTTAGAATCACAGATGGGAACTTTTGTTGGGGGGGAAATACAGATTTTTGAACCATGAAATGTATATAACTGAAGTCATATTTTTTTCCCCCATGCTAAAACTTGTCCACAGCTTTAATTTAATTTCCAGTTGATGTAATCCAAAGTGTGCGGGGGGGGGGGGGGCACTTTAGAAGCTTGAAAAACTTGATTTTGTTTGGAGATATGCCTTTACCAGCCTTGGTATTTCTCCCTTGACCTGAAATTGGCAGTCTTCGTTGGCAAACTTTCCTGTATTGTAATCAATAACAAGGAATCCTTTGTGCTGTCTCATTTTACGTGAGTCACTCACCCATCTAAGATCCCAAAGCGGTTGATATCTCATTGAAAGGTGTGTGTGGATCTCTTCCTCACATGAGATCCCACCTGTGGACCAGAGCTATGGAATCATAGAATCATAGGGCTGTAGGGGACCTTGGAGGTCTTCTAGTCCAACCCCCAACTCAAAGTAGGAGCTTTATACCATCCCAATCAAATGGTTGTTTTTGAAAACCTCCAGCAATGGAGCACCTACAATTCCAGGAGGCAAGCTATTCCATTGATTAGTTGCTCTCACTGTCAAAAATTTTCTCCTTACTTCTAGGTTGGATCATTCCTTAACAAGCTTCCACCCATTGCTTCTTGTCCTGTCCTCTGGAGCTTTGGAGAATATGTCAGTCCCCACTTCTCTTGACAGTTTCTCAAATATTAGAAGACAGTTACCCTGGTCCCCTCTAATCCTTCTCTCGAATAGGCTAGGCACGGCACGGCATGGCACACCTAGCTCCCTCAGCTATGTCTCCAGCTATTTCAAGATGGCTGTTCTTGGCTTTTTCTGAGCTCGGGAAACTGATAGCAGGGAGAGTTGGTTATGCATGCCTGTTGGGGGTTGGGGAAGACTGAGTGACAGTGAGATATTACAATTAATGGAGAATTTTCATTTACACATAGCCAATGATGATTTTGCTGGGGGCAGATCCTTTCTCAACTGGACCACAGAGGGCTCATGATTTTTGAGGCCTCCTGAACTCACAGCATCCACACATGGAGGATTGGGGTGATGCTGAGATCCCAAATATTAGAGGTCTTGTGATCCCTGAACTTCTGCTTCCACTGAGTGAAACAGTCATCAACAGGCACATAGACATAAACAACTACTACATACCGTTCAAAGAAGACAGTGAAAAAGCCAAAAAGGAAACAAAAAGACCAAAATACCTCCTCACCGACAGATGAGCAGGGATGAACACCAAGAGTAACATTAGAATTACAATCAAGAAGCAAACAATTCCCCAATCAAGGAACTGCCAAACAAGCTAACAACAGCCCAACCAAGGAGCCATCAAGACCTCTCCTACAAACACTGACATGACAAGCCACTAGTATATAAATAAAACATACAATGAACGGTTGCAGGAACAGGGCATGGCTAGTCTAGGGAAGAGAAGGACCAGGGAAGACACGATAGCAGTCTTCCAATATTTGAGGGGCTGCCACAGAGAGGAGGAAGGGGGTCAAGCTATCTTCCAAGGCACCTGAAGGCCAGGCAAGGAATAATGGATGGAAATTGAACAAGGAGAGATTCAACCTGGAAATAAGGAGAAACTTTCTGACAGTGAGAAACCAATGGAACAGTTGTGGGAGCTTCATCACTGGAAGCTTTCAAGAAGAGACTGGACTGCCATCTGTCAAAAATGGTGTAGGGTTAGCTTGGGGGGGGGGTTGGACTAGATGACCTACAAGGTCCCTTCCAACTCTGATTATCTGTATCTGTATGAGATCAAACCCCACCCTCTACTAACACTGATGATGTTACCTAGTTTGGTAATTAAACATCTGCAAGAAAACAACCAAGCTCAGAAAGCACCAAGCACCTCACCTCAATCCTGAGCTACAAATATCCTCTTCCACTCTGGAAGATCCTGTGTGATGATCACTTAGAGACCTTTTTCTTCCTGAGCTTCCTTTCAGTGAGACTCCCGTTGTTGCAAGGGATTCTTTGCCTTTTGAAGATCCCCTCCCCCGCCTCCCCCTCCCCAAGGCTCCTTTGAGATGGACCTCTGTGGATCCCTCCTCAGAAAAGCAGTTTTGAATGCATAACCGAACTTCATTGACACAGATTCTATTACAAAGGCAGTTGATTATACTTGGACTCGGTGGTCAAGATATTAACCACTTGTGTGGATGTTTAGCTTGGAGTGCAAATTGTGCTGACCGTTACCAAGAGCATCCTTTTTGGAGAGAACGGCACAGAGACTCATCGACATGCGACCACAATTGGGACCAGTATTTTCTGTCCTTTTCTTCCAGATTTTACCTGGGTGGTTAAGGCTAATAACCGAGCTTATCATGAACAAATTCGAAAGAAGCATCTCTGGTGTTTGAAGAAGAAAAAATATGCAGTAAGTCTGATTGGAAGTCATGGGAGGGAGGGAGGGAGGAATAAAAATGTCAGAGATTTCAAATCCTCTTTATATTCTGGTTCTGTGTTTGTGTGTGTGTTTTAAACTTAGTGAGCCTTTCCTTTCCTTTCCTTTCCTTTCCTTTCCTTTCCTTTCCTTTCCTT